TATGTTCAGTTTCAAAGCAAGAAAACTCTCAGTCACAGCGGAGCTTATTTTCATTAATACCCTCGACCCAGGCAAGTTTAGTTTCATGTTTAATTCAAAAATCTCATCCTTCCCTTCCCACCCTCTTGTCACGTTAATAACTTTCGTGCCATTGCCTCCGTTTTTCTGTCTGCTGAAATGCACTCTCTCAAATCCCTATAGAATCTAAATCAACATTTTTCTCATTTCTTTTTTTTTTTTGAGACCTTTTATCCAGCATTTTCATAGATCTGCTCCCATCACAATTTTTCTTCTCTTAGAGAAAACCAGCAAGAGGTGAGTGGCTGTTTTTTCAAAGAGTTTTAATAGTTGATGGGGATATGTGTCTTTTCCCATTAATCATAAGGAATCGGTGGAACAAGCTTCCTGATTCTCTCTGCTTCAAACTCCAGTTATCTTTCAAATCTCCTATGAAAACATGTCTTATCTCTCTTCTGTATTCCTAAAATCACAAAATTGAACTCATTCAGTTTCAGTGATGAACCCCCACCTAGTGTATATGCTTGACCAACCAGAAAAATCGTATGCAATTTCCTGGTGCTCACCAATTTAAATAAGTAATTTACATACATAAATATTTTTTCTGAAGTGCACACATTGTGAGTTACAGGAATCTCACTTTGCGACTGAGGTGGACAAGATTACTGTAAGTATATTGGATCTATTGGAATCAGAATCCAAGTTCTGATTCTTCAGAAGCTGTAAGCGTGACTTACAAGAAGGAATATTTGAAATGCAGTTTTGAGCATTCCAATTGAATTTTTTCCACATAGTTGTATCCACAGCTAATTTTTCGGGTCAGTGTTTGAGGGCTTTTTTGAATAACCCTGAACGCTAGGAAGGGAGTGCTGGATTGTATTAGCAAGGGCTCAGTACTGTGTGAACCCATTTGTGTGGGGTCTGCTCTGGAGCTTCTTAGTGGATGGATGTTTGCAAGCACGGAGAGATCAGATGTGCAGTTTTCTACAACCTGCATAGGCATATCTTAAAGGAATCCTTCTTACTTGCTGCTGTGAGTTAAGTAAGAAACATTAGCACAATTACCTAAGTTTCAATGACTGTCTGGCCTTATCATTGTTCATTGAAAACATAAAGACAAAGTATTCTTGAAAGTATTTGTATTACATGAGTGCATTACAATAAAAACATTTGTTCCCTTAGAGAATCTGTTTTTCAAGTTTTTACTGTCAGTTCATTTTTATCATGCTTCTCCAGTTCATAGATCTTTTTTAGAGAATTTTCTTAGAAGTTGCTCTTAGAAAAATATTAATGTTTGCATGCATTAAGGATTTTAGGGCATTTATGTATCAGAATTCCACCTGCATAAATGCATACATGTACACTGCAGCCAAATTTCTCTTAGAAAATTGGCATAATCTTGTAGAGAAGAAGAAACCGCTGCACATGAAGTGCAGATACTAAGTTGACATTTTCAGCTAGTTAATAAAAGTCTGAAGGTAAAGCCAAAATCTGACTATGTTTAGGAGAATGTTTATCATGTTAATGTCATTTTTTGTGGGGAATACTTTACAAGTCTTGGGGAAGATCCTCTGAAATTTTTAAAAGTACTTTTAAGAATAATATGTCAGGTTGATAAACCTTGTAAATACTTCTTTGTCTTGCCTTTATTTCCTATCAGAGTTCCAACTTGCATTCCAGTTTCTTTTGTATTCTGTTACGTGGTCTTTATATTTTCCTTGTAGAAAATATTGTGGCTTCATGAAAATCATTAAAATATTGGGGCACATTTTTTCTTTCTTTGCTTAAATTTTACAGAGTAGGCTTTGAGATTACGAAAAGCACTAAACATTTTTGGTAAACTTCTCTGAGAGAAGAATACAGGCAGTAAACGTAGGAGGAAAAATACTTGGGTTGCTTCAGCGAAAATTCTGTGTGGATAAAAGAAAACAATTCTTTACCATGAGAACAGTAAAACACTGGAATAAATTGCCCAGAGAAAGGATGAAAGATTCTGCTTGACAGGGCCATGAGTAACCTGACACAAGGCTCTATTTTCAACAGAAGATTGGACCAGGTGGTCTCCAGAGGTCCTTTCCAGGCTGAATTTTTCCATGATCCTGTGAATCTGTCTTTCTGTGATATACAAGAAAATGTGGAGAAATGGGCTAGGCAGACTGTGGTACTGCTAGTAATTTGTGGAGAATAGTAGTCCTGGCTTCTCTAATCTAATCCATTCCTTAGAGCAAAGCAACTGTGCTGTATTATGAAAACTCGTGAGTTGAGATAGACAGTTTAATAGGTAAAGCAAAAGCAAGGAATTCATTCCCTCCTTCCCATCATCAGGCAGGTGCTCAGCCATCTCCAGGAAAGCAGGGCTTCATCATGTGTACCGGTTACTTGTGAAGATAGACGCCATCACTCCGAACATTCCCCCTCTTTCTTCTTCCCCCAGCTTTTATTGCTGAGCATGATGTCATATGGTCTGGGATATCCCTTTGGCCTGTTGAGGTCAGCTGTCCTGGCTGTGCCCCCTCGCAGCTTCTTGTGCACCCCCACCCTCCTCACTGGTGGGGTGGGGTGAAGAGCAGAAAAGGCCTTGGCTCTGTGTAAGCCCTGCTCAGCAGTAATGAAAACATCCCTGGGTTATCAATCAACACTGTTTTCCGCACAGATCCTCCGTACTAGGGACTATAAAGAAAATTAACCCTATCCCAGCCAAAACCAGCACACTGAGCTTTTCAGAGGAGGGATGTGACAGATGGCTGGAATGGGGGGGTAAGTACTGTGTAAATTTGAAAATAAGCATCAAGAAGGGCAGCTGAACAGCTGAAGTACACAAAAAAGGTCTTTTTTGTCCTGGGGTAAGCCAGGAGTGAAAAGGCAGTAGCGTATGAGTTTGATATAAATTTGGTATACTAAACAGTTTAAGTATCAAGTGTATTCACCATGCGTGCTAAGGTTTGAATAGCGCAAGGACCGATGATGCAGGAGGCATTTATAGGCCTTCTAGGAGCTGAAGGTAGTGTAGTGTGGAGAGTCTTGGATAGTCTTCTCTGGTAGTGCGAGTAGCCCTGGGTTACTGAAAGCAGGAGAACTCTCTGAAAGTAATGGAGGAGGAAGGGTACACCAGGACATCTTGAATGTTGTGTAGTTTGAATCACCTGAAGAGGCTGGTGCCTCCCCACTGTTGTCTTAAATACTCCAGAGAAGAGGGGGGGGAAAAAAAAAGTGGATTGTTTGGAGCAGGTGTTAACACAGTTATTTGATCATAAAATGGGCCATAGAAACTCAGAGAAATGAAAGATAACCTTTCTCCAAGCTGAACAAATTTCTTTCTTATTTTTAATTGCTTCAGGGAAGCTGGATTGTCTAAGTAGAAGAACATTTCATTTGCCTTGGTAATCCATCAAAGCATACTTGACATGGTGGCTGCTTTCTTTTTCAGTATCATAATTTTCTTCAGAGAGGAAAGTTAGCTCTGGATCGCTCTGGATCATTCCATTAACTGTCAACAAAATTTCTGTCTTAACATGTTTCTTTCACTTTAGTCTATAAATGAAATAGAGGGCATCTCTGAAATGTCACTGCCATGTCTTGTGTGATGTGTACAGTATGTCAGGTTACGGTTTGCAGTGTGATCTTGAAATTGTCAGAAAACCTGAATGTGTGCTTTAGTGTGACATAGTTCCTTCAGATCAATTATCTGATGCCAATACCTCTTTTTATATAGTGCTTAGATGCCCGTTAGAAGACAACCACTTTATTGGAGAAGGGTTAATACCCTTATTCCTGGTTTTAAGATGTGTAGAAAAGAGAAGTTCCTTGCCCATAGTCACTCACAGAATCGGTGGCAGAGCTAGGGTTAGAATCTGCATCTTCATGAAGCAGTTATTTAGTGGTGGGTTCTTAAAAGTAGCGTGGTATTGGGAGGAGAGACTATGTTTTGGATTTAAGATGACTTATATTTTCTCTTTAATATGAACACTGCATAACTGGTGAAAAAAAAATGGTCTCAATATGTGGAATTGTCTCTATCCAGATTTTTATTATCCCTACTAAAGAAAATAGATTGCTTTCTGCCATTGTCTGTTTAGCCAGCTGTAAGCCCTGTTGGACAGATTGCATGGTATGCTGATTAATGATAAAGGCCATGGGTGATTAACCAAGTGTGCAGTGAGGTCCATAGCTTCCAGTCTATTACAGAAATGCCATTGCTGAATATCACCACACAGTCTTCTGAAAAGAGAGGTCACGGTCTTCTGAAAAGAACCACACTGTCTTCTGCAAGGTAAATTCAGACTAGTGGAGAAGAGTGGTGTAGTCGTGAAGAGCTGCTGCAGTGCTACACAACTGTGCTTATTTTTAGTGGTGGCTTAAATTTAATCTGAGGATTTGAAGGTTTGCTGGGTTTTTTTTTCCTTGACACCTTTCTTACTGTGGTTATGGGCATCTCCCTACCCCCGTTTTTCTTACAGAATAAATCCAAAAGACCTAATATGCATTTGATAAATTTGGGAGATTGTTTTTCTACATGTGCTTAGTGTTTCTTTCATATCCCAGCATCCAAGGGCAGGAGGCAGAATAGCTTGATGAATTCTGACAAACAGCGTGCTGTTTTATAAAATGTTACTAGATCAAGCTGTCAAATGTCAAAGACTGTATATGCTACTTTTGTAGCCGAATATAAATTTTTTGTATATAAAATCAGCACTGGTTAAATACTTTCCTTTTTAGAGAATGCTGAAAATGTTTATGACCTTTATTTCACATTTTTAATGCAGTAATTCTGCTATAGGAATGGGAGGGGTTTGTACTGTGTTCTGAACTGTTATCAGCATCACTGTTTCAGGCTATATAAATTCTGATTGTAGAGCAGGGTTGGTTCATAATTTTTTTTTCTTACGAGTGAGCTTTTTCTACAGCAATAACATGAGGTAATTTATTTGCTTATTATTACTACTCTACTAAAATTTCTGTAAATATCTCTTTCTAATTTATAGGCAGTAGCTCAATTCCAAATTTCTTTCGTATCATGAAGCGACAGTTTACTGAAACAGAGTGGGGTGTAATCAAGTCTATGAGTAATGAATGGATGCAGCTGGATATGTTTCATCGGCACTGGGTAATACTTTTTTTTCTATTTAAAGACTGCAATGCTATAACCTGCACGTTCTCTTTTGATATATTATTATTTTCATTATGGTAAAATTACATACTTTTTATAGTTACATGTTCATGTGGATGTAATATTTTAATAGAGTTTATATTTTAGTGGGTTTTTTAATGTCAGAATAACTTTGAGAACCGTATAACAGCTGACATATCTAAAAGGATTTATGACTGGTTTTAAACACGTATGCAGAACAAGGTAAAGGGTTCATATCTGTGTGTGCCACTTGCTAATTCCAGTTGCATGTTCATTATAATGCAGCAAATTAGGCTAGATATTAATAACACTGATAACTTTTTCTCACATTTACAGTAGTTTGTCTCACATTTATTTGGTCTGCAGTGTCTGCTGAGAAGTAATGTTTATAGAGCAGTTTGAAAACAGTCAGTATGAATAAAATACATCTATTCTGTGTCTTAGGCCTTAAAGGAAAGCTTCTTAAAGGCTGTGGGAGTTGGAATTGGCTTCAACTTGCAAAGAATTGAATTTAATGTGTCCCCATTGCAACTGGAAATAGGGAAGGTGTATAAGGAGACAACAATGCTTCTGGATGGAGATAAAGAAGAAGAGTGGATGTTTGAGGTAAGAAATATTCAAATTTACTCTTTCAATAGTGATAAACAGTCTCAACACCCTATGGTTGCATTGCACACCTGATTATTTTTTTTTAATTGCAGCTGCACACCTTTATTCTGTATAACCACATTGAACGTATATCAATCAAATCTTAGGCTGTAAATCTGCAGCATTTTAAAGTATTTTTGGTGATTGCAAAACCACCCCAGAGATATATTCATTATAATGGCTTTTTATTTTTTCTGTTCCTGGAGTATACTTCTTGCACTCTGTGAAATTCAGCCTAGGTAATGCAGGAAGTTCACTGAAGCATATTCAGACCTGACTTCTGAACAGTGTCTAAGATTTTAAAGTTCTTCATCCATTGGTCTAGAATGGGACTAGTAATTAACTAACCTCATTACTTAGTGTATTTGTTAAATGTTTGAAATGAAGGAGGTGTCTTCAGCTCCTTTGGGTTTCTTTCTTCTTGCCCATCCATACGAGCTGGTAGAAATACGTGTTTTTGTGGGTTTGGAGTTACAGTGTGCGATTGGCTGCTGTCTGTGGGAATGGAGAGATGAAAAAAAGAACTTGCTTTTGCTTAATTGGAACATTAGTTTGGGCTCAAACTTCTGAGTGTTTTGGGTTTGGGTTTTTGTTTGGTTTTCCTTCTTGAAAGTTATTGAGACTTATGACTGAAACACCTGTCTTGTTAGATTTGGTAGGAAATGATCAATAGCATCTAATGTAGTTGAAGGAGTGTAGAGAGAAAGAACTGATAGGGACATGGTTTAGTGGACTTGGTATTGTTAGGTTAATGGTTGGACTTGATAATCTTAAGGGTCTTTTCCAACCTAGGTGATTCTATGATCCTATACAATGATATAAAATTATTTAATTACCCTAAGAAACCAAGCTTTAAAACTAGTTAACTAAATCACAGTACCATTTCTCTACACCCCAGAGGCACTGTCATTCAACCACTTAAAACAAAGAAAGAAATGCAGAAGATGTTGTGACTTTAAAATTGTCTGTAAAGGGCACCTTGTTTCAGTCTGCTGTAAGTTTGTGCAGCTGGTATGTAGCTGACCAGCAATTCAAAGAATACATACTTTGCAATTTCACAAAATAGTCAAGTGCACTTTTTAGTAAGAGTACTCAGTTTCCAGTATGTGTTTACATTTTGAAAATATCTACCTTGTTAGAGAAAACTGTTCCAGTAGAGCTTGTCTAAATAACAAATTTCTGTTCTATGTTTGTTCTGTGTAGTACACAAACTACATGTATGGTGCGCATGTAGTAAAAAAGAATGAATGTATGAGTAACATTTAACTTGTAGCATAAGTTGACTTCTTCACAGTTCATTCCTTTCAGCATTTCTAGCCACGCTTGGGTTTGTGTTATTTTAAAAGTCTACCCATACTAAATCAGCCCTCTTACTGATATTGCTATACTCTCTAGGAAATGAGTATGTCGCGAAATTCACTAGTTGAAATTATAGACTGGCAAAAGAAAATCTTAGGAAAGGCTGTGACGCATCGTGTAATAGAATGCTTTCTGTATTAATGCTAACTGTGTACCATTGTCAAGCAAGCATCTACCTCTTTCGATTGACTTCCGGAACTCCTAATTTTGGTCTTTGACATGTCTGTGTTTGACTGACTAAAATAGCATGAAGATGATGATGTAGGTACCTCCCTGTATTACTTAAATGCTTTATAAGTATTTAATTTTTCCTTATTGCTTAGAAATTACTCTAGAAGCTTAATTTAATTTTTGTCTGAGGAATATCTCCTCTTCCATGCTTGCCCTCCCGCTTCCCAGTTCCCCTTACAATGACGCAGTTTGTAGTATTTAAAAGAAAGCATTTATTATCAAGTTTCATTAAAATGCAAGCTCAATTGGGATATAATTTAATTTAAATATCAACATTTATTAAAATTAAAATGAAAAAAAAAAATTAGTTTTTAAGTTACCAATCCCCAGCCTAAAATTAAGCATCACTTTACTTTTTTGTCTTCTCCCAAGTTTCTTTTAATTTTGTGCCCATTTTCTTCCTTAAAGTCTATTTTTGTTTCATTATTTGCCCTTGAGCCAAATTCTTGAAACAACTTGTTAACTGAAAACACTAATTTTGAGAAATCTGGAAGAGTCACCCAAGAGAAGTCATTAAGGATTGATTACCTGTAAGACTGCATATTACTGGTATAGTATTTTCCTCCTTCAGAAAGTACCAAGTAATGTGAAAAAAGCAACATAAAGTATAAAGACTAGAAAAATATCTACCACCCTATACCTGTCTTGACTAAAAGGTCAAGAGAAGTACTAGTGAATCAGAGCAAATCCACTCCTCATATATTTTTGAGCTTGGATAGAAGGCAGTTGCTCAGAAACAGCCACTTGTTTTTTTGATCTTGATGGATTGGTTTAGCTTTAGGCACTTGTTTTCATATAGTACTCTAGAGATTGGTACTCAGATTCCCTCCAGCTGTTTTGGAAGGAATAGGAGAAAAAAAATACATTAAAACCATAAATTTACTTTTAAGATATGTCTTCTATGTGTGTTAAATATGCCTTATTCACATAGGCAGTGCACACTTTCCTCACTTTAAAAAGGTGAATTTGTTTAGTAATAATTAAAAGTTTACTAGCCCAGTGAAGAGTGATGCAGTGTTTGTGCCAGAGTGTTAATTTAGGATTGAGTCATTATTCTGATGATGATGGTGGTGATGATGATGATGATGATTATTATTATTATAATTCTATATGCTCCGTTTACTTCCTTTGAAGAAAATAAACTTACAGAATGAAGTACTAGTTAATTTTAATAAAAGTGAAGGAAGTTGATCGATAACAATTATGACAAGTTTTATAATTTAAAGAATTAAGCATAAATTTGTAATACATATATCTGTAGCATATCTGATATGTGCAAAAAAAAAAAATACCAATTACTGATTTGCAGAATATTAAGTGTATACATGACTCTTCCCTTATTGGTCCCAGTTTTGTACAGTTAATCAGGAAGGATGGCTAGACAGCTCTTATTGGAATGTACATTAAAGAACCTTAAGTGAGACATAAGACATTTCTGTTCTGTCCCTACCTCAATTTTGGATACAACCAGTTTATAAAGGAAGCAACCAATTTATCCTAAACCTTACTCGGGGATTAAGAATCACCTGGCATTGCTGCTGCTACACAAATAACTGTTTGTTTGCATTTTTTCACGACAGATATTGGCTTGGTTTGTCTATATGCAAATACTTTGCATCCAGAATATGAATTTCAAACTAAGATTACCTGGGTCAATTTGAAACATATTTAGTAATTGTTGTTGGAACGCAACTTTCACCCTCAGGAAGAGAAATTAATCCTGTTGTATTGTAAGGAATAAATAGGAATGAAAACTCTTGCTTCTAAGTCTAGCTAATCCAACTGGATTCAAACAGCAATCAGTTCTGCTGGCTGGAAGGTGCAGTTTCCTCATAAGCTGTCTGTTGTTGAGTGAATCCAGAATGATTTGAATCCCAGACACACCATTCTGTCGAGCCTTTGAAATGAGGTCATTATAAGTCTCTGTGTGCCTGTAGCTTGAACAGCTCTAGTAAGGCTTTGGTTCTGTGCAGAGAAAAACAGATTTTGATCTGTTATATGTTTTCTGGTTTATAGAGAGGAATCTTAGCAAAACAAACTCTACCTCAGAGGAATTCTGTATGATTGTCCTCTTTCTCTTTTTGTTTAGTCATCTATTTCCAGTTAAGAAATGGAAATTTCTTATTGGGAATTTCAATCTATTTCCATTTTAAAAGCTGGTATAGCATTATCTGCAGATGACTAGGGAAGCAAGCTGATGCACTGTTTCTTGTGGTTTCAGTATGTTTAATTAACTTCATACCTTAAGGTTTTTGCTGGCTGCTAGTAGGGGCCAGGAAGGATCTCTTGCCCTTCTGTATTTGGTTCAGATTTACATTTCTATGAAGCAGCAAAGATAAGATGAAGGGCACAGTTTGTTGTTTTATTTTAAGATGCTGAAAACTCTGTAACCACAGAGGATACATGAAGTAGATGAGGTGGAACCTTATGAATTCATTGTCCATTGGGCAGGGTCCCTGTTATCTAAAGAGTTGCTGCCTGTTAAATACAGCTTTGAGCTGATAAAAAATAATTTTATTGATCATATTGATCAAGCAGGGTCACCCAGAGCAGGTTGCACAGGACATCATCCAGGCGGGTTTTGAATATCTCCGAAGATAAGTTCACTTCACAAAAAGAAATTTCTGTGTGTTTAGCTTAAAGCTGTAACACAGTTGTTTGCAAACTTCTGACTACAGATGTAGGCCAATGCTGAATGCGCTGTACTGTGTTTTCTGAACAGTCTTTAACCTCTTGGACATGTAAAAAATGAAAGAAGGGGGAAAAATGAAGTGATTAAAAGCTGGATATAGTAATTTTTCCGTCTAGACAAACACAAAACCCTGCCACCCTAGAACTATATAAAATGTTTAGCATCACTTGATCAAACATCTAATTTTCATGATCTTTTATTTTTGAGGAAGTTTTGGAAATGTGCATTATGTGTACAAATGGTTAGATTTCATCAAACCTGAGGTAGCATTCTTTATGCTTGACTTATTTTCAGTCTTGTACCCTAGAAAAGGAATGGAAAACTTGAGTCAAGTACCTCATAGTGAGTACACCTATAGCTCTTGCAGTTGTGGGAAATACCACTTACACTGTAGATCTGTTAGTGTTTCTCATGTGCATTAAATACTTCTCCTCATCTAGACAGAATTGAAATAGTCATTTTCTCACTTGTGCTTTGTGGAAAGGTAAAACACCATGAGCTTGACGTTTTGTTTTTAAGTAGGTGAGGGATACAAAGTTGGCGGCTAAATCTGTCAAACAGGCACAGTTTTGGTGCTGAAGAGATCAACGTAAAAACACATTTCTACTCCCACACCAGCACCTATCTGCCAAGACACCCACATCTTTGCCTGCAAAGTCCCCCAACCTTATAGTTCTGCTGCTGCTACACATGACCAGAGCAGCTGCTGTCTTGGCTGAGCCGGGTTGAATCATCGGAGCTGAGCATCCTGGCACTTTTTTTATATACAGGGCTGTTTAGGAATTGCAGAAATGGTATCCTTGCAGCTGAAATATTTGAAAATCCTATATAGTAGATGAGCTGTAGAGAAGCCTAATGTGGGCTGACAGCATTGTTTTAGAAGATATATTGCTTAGATTAAAAGGGGGGAAAAATGGTAACCAGCAAGCTGTCAGAGGAAATAGAAGGACACCATGATGCTTTCTTTATGTTATAATATAATGCAGTTAGAGTATTTCACAAGGAAGTGGAAATTGGAGGTTCAGTCATACCTCCCAGGAGAATATCCAGACTACTAGCTGATTTTCAGATTAATGTTGAGGTCTAAACTATTCATTTGTCTAGGTAAAATTCTTGTTATTCTTGATTTCCATTTTAGAATGTGCAGAAATTTATGTGAAAATGCTTGGATAAAGAAGCAAGGAAAACATTATTCTCCCCCATTTTATATATATATATTTATATATATATATCTATCTCCAACAGGTTTATGACTTGACTATAGAATAAACAGAATAAACATTATTTAGAAACAGTATATATAAGTGGGGTTGGTTTTTTTTTTTTTAAATGAATTGTTTAGGACGAATTCTTAGCCTTTCAAGAGGAAAACACTTTTAAACAAAACTATTAAATAAAAAACCTTATATTACTAAATATATAGTTATATATCTAAATATTTTTGACGAAAATTGATTCGTATTTGCACAGAGTAGTGCTCAGACTGCTGTGGCAGAAATTTGAAGTTGTGGTGTTACATGCTGTCTGAAGCCAACAGTGAAAGAGTCATTGATTTAAGTTTACATTTACGTTGTTGTTTTTCAGAATACCTCCTAGAAGTTCACAGCTCGTCTCATAGGAAATCAGATAGCTAAGATGGGTTATACAGCTTGTGACTTAGAAGGGGCTGGTAAAAGAATGGTCACGAAATTGAATATAAATATCTACAAATGGGTGAGATGATGGTAACCTATAGTAACCAGTTCAGCCCTGCTAACTTTTTAATGTATCTGCATCCTTGAGCTCTCCAACAAAACTGCTAAAAAGAACTATGGCTTTTTAAATGTCATTATTTTAAAGTATTTTAAATTATGTTCTGCTATTGTTCTGAACCATATTCTAAACATTTATATAGTCTTTGCTGGAAACAGAGTAAGGAAAATTCATTTACATTGCCATTTTTCACCTTTACTAGGAAACACGGTTAGATGGCCATCATCATGTTGCAGTGGCTCTCGGGAAACAGGAGGGATTTGGACAGAAGCATTCTGATGTAAGAAATTATGAAACATTTTCAGGTCTTGGTAACTAATCTCTTGAACATAAACTTAGTCTGATGCTTCATTCAAGAGGAGATTAAGTGATTTTTGTCACAGCCTGCTAGAACTCATGTGGGAAACTTGAACATAAACTTAGTCTGATGCTGTAGCTAAAAGTGTTTTCTCAGATGTAGGGCCAAGGAGAAATCTTATCTTAAACACAGTATTAACCAGATTGTTACTGAACTGTTACCTCCAGTTCTGTTGTGCCTATTTCAGGAAAGGTCTGGGAAGGAGAAATAGTTTCAGAGGACAGCAACAGCTAATGTCAAATCTGGAATGTATGTGCTACAGCATTCAGTGTGTTCATTCAAGAGGAGATTAAGTGATTTTTTGTCACAGCCTGCTAGAACTCATGTGGGAAAGATGGTTTTCACAGAGGGAAATGGAGGCAGTGAACCAATCTGGACTGCTAAACTAGTACGGCACCTCAGCAAGTTGATTTTAATGGGGGACTGTCAGTGCATGTATCCAAGAGCAGATCCATCTCTCAAACACCGTTATGACAAGATAACCCTTGAGGCAAGAAACAACAACCAACAGATGGGAAGAACAGCAGTGTTAGTCTTCATTCCATGTGGTCTCTTTATTGAGAGAAGCAACAAAGCTATTTAAAAGCTTTTCAGGATTTTCTGTGTAATTTAGCAAAGACCTGGGTCATGAAAATAGTAATAGAAGTCATATCTGAGACAGACTGGCAAATTGTAGCCAAAATAGCCAGACAGTCAGCAAAGGAAAGTGTGACGTATTGCCAGGTTTGTCTGTGGTGTTTTAGCTGCTAACAAGAAAATTGGGTAGTTGTTTCCTGTTACATACAAAGGTTCTGCCAAGAACTAGAAAAAAAAAATAGTATATGAATGGATAAAAGGATGAAAGTGGTCATGCACACATCTATCATGGCCATAAAATCTGACTTTGTGATCATGGACAACAGAGGCAGACCTTTTAACTAGTATTGGTTAGATTAATAGAAGACATATAAACTACCTCTGAGGATTTACTGTGGTAAATCAGTGCTCAAATATTGTTTAAGAAAATATGCGCGTTCTGTTTGACAGGACATACTTAAGTTCCCAGTGGGGCTGCGTATCATCCTTCCTACAGGAATACTGATAAATGTCAGTCTGAGGTGAAAAGAAGGTGGCCATTATTTCTAATAGACAATTACCTAAGTATTCTACAAAAATCCAGGACTTTTAAGTATTGACCTTCACTATGACTGTCACACACCTTAAAATTATCATAAAAAGACTAGGCATGGTATCAAGAGTTATGAGGAAAAGTCTTTGAATCAAGAAAGTCTCAAAGGCATACTTGTCCACTGACTAAATTTGTGATGACCTAAATTTTATTAGCTCGATTCACTGAAAAAAGGTCATTTTAAATAGGACAAGTGAGCATTCTGTGACTCCCCAGTATGGAAATGAAGTGAAAATTTCTGTACTATTGCATTGTGCCTTTTCAGCACTCCTTCTAACAGGAATGTGGAGGAAATTAAAGCGGCCTTCTCTCTAACAGAACTGTAAAAAAGGATTCTATATATTGCTAGATGTATTGAGAGGAAAAGGTGATCTTTAGTTTGAAAAAATCAAGTGTGTAGACATTATGCTGTTGCTTCAGCATGTCAATGCTTGTCTCTGTTCCCTCCCTGCTATCATGGGAGTAATTAATTTGCAGAACATATACTTTCAGTGAGCTTTCTTCCCAACCTGATAGCAAGTACCTCCAATTCATAGGAAAGACCAATTGTTACTTTAAAGTACTATAATTTAGATTCTTCAGTGTCAGGAATCTTCACAAAATGTCCACTAGTGATTGCTATATACTTGAAAAGACAGAACATTTATCTGCACTCTTGCCTAGACCTTGACAGTTATCTGAAGAGGGTCTCGATAAAAGATGGCTGAGTTTATAATTCTTTATAATTCCTATGTGGGCTATAAAGTATCTTTTCACCTATCACTTGCTAAATTTCACAGGACTTGTGATGAATTCAGTCAGAACACACTTGTCTTCGGGCAAGCATGTGCTGAAATTCAAACTAGATCTCTTAAGCCTCTGAGCTAAGTAGATTGTTAGTTCATATTTGGTATGCATCTGTGGTGTCACTTGCATGGCTCCAGGCACAGTTCCTGCAGCTTTACCTCATATCTAAAATGCAAGATGAACAGTAATGTCTCAACACCATGTCACTTGTGTGAGGTTACAGAGTGACAGGCAGCTCGATTAACTTTTGCTTTCAGTCTGCATTGGACAACTCTGAGTTTTGCAGTGCTGTTACAACAAACACAAACCATTTTGTTGTCTCTCCATTTATTCCTAACAGTAGCTTACTGCTCAAACACTGAAGCGGAGAATAGACATTTTTGCTCTTTTACCTATTTACTGACCTACCTTCATTGATGTGACAAAAAGGGATCACAAAATCAACAAAATGGGCCTTAGGCAAGGTCACCTCCAGCACTTGCATGTAAACAAGCAAGTGCCTACAAGGCATCATTATGGAGAAATCCTCCAAACCCTCTCCAGGATCTCGGCATGCTGGGGCGCCTCTCTGAAGTGCCTGTACACTAATGCACACAGTATGGAGAATAAACATGATGAGTTAGATATGTGTGTGCAGTTGCAGGGCTATGATCTTGTTGGGATCATGGAGATGTGGTGGGATGGCTCCCATGGAGGGAGTGTTGCAATCAAGGGATACAGGCCCTTTAGGAAGCACAAGCAGGGAAGATGAGAGGGGGGGTTGCCCCTTACATTGAGAGAGCAGCTGGAGTGCATGGAGCTCTGCCTGGGGATGGATGAGGAGCCAGCTGAGAGTTGATGGGTTTAGATTAAAGAGATGGCAAGTCAAGGTGATGTTATAGTGGGTGTCTGCTCTAGGCCACCTGACCAGAAAGTGGATCAGGCCCTGTACAAGACAAATAGAAGCAGCCTCTCATTCACAGGCCTTAATCCTCATAGGGGACTTGAACCACCCCAGTACTTGCTGGAGAGACACAGCAGGACATAAGCAATCCAGGAGGCTCCTGGAGTCCATTGACAACAACTTCCTCTTCCAAGTGTTAGAGGAGCCAACAAAGAGAGGTGCTGTGCTGGACCTCATACTTGCCAATAAGGAGGGGCTTGTTGGGGATTTGAGGGTCAAGGGCAGCCTTGGCTACAGTGAACATGAGATGGTGGAGTTCAGGATCCTGGGGGCAGGGAGGAAGGCTCACAACCCTGGACTTGAGGAGAGCAGACTTTGGCCACCTCAAAGATCTGCTTGGAACAGTCCTGTAGGATAAGGCCTCAGAGGGAAGCAGAGCCCAGGAGAGCAGGTTAATGTTCAAGGATCACCTTCTCCAAGCTCAAGAGAGTTCCATCCCAATGAGTATGAAGTCAGGCAAAATTGCCAGGAGGCCTGCATGAATGAACTAAGAGCTCCTAGCTTTGCAGAAAAAGCACTGGGAGTTGTGGTGGACACCAGATCAAACATGAACCAGCAATGGGCCCTTGTAGCAAAGAAGGCTAATGGCATCCTGGACTGCATTAGTCAAGGTATTGGCAGCAGGTCAAGGGAGGTGATCCTGCCCCTGTGCTCAGCACTGGTGAGGCCACATCTGGGGTGCTGTGTCCAGTTCTGGGCTTCTCAGTACAAGAGAGACGTGGACATGCCAGAGAGAGTCCAGCAAAGGGCCACAAATACAATTAAGGGACTGGAACATCTCTCCTGTGAGGAACAGTTGAGAGAGATGGGACTATTCAGCCTGGAGAAGAGAAGGCTTGGGGCGGGGGATCTTAGTAATGTATCTAAGTACCTGAAGGGAAGGTGCAAATTAGACAGAGCTGGCCTCTTTTCATTGGTGCTGAGTGACAGGACCAGAGGCAGTGGCCACAAGCTGACACATGCAGGAGGTTTCCTCTGAATGTCAGGAAACACTGTGAGGGTGACCAAGATTGCCCAGGGAGGTTTGTGGAGTCTCCATCCATGGCAATACTCGAAAGCCATCTGGACATGGTCCTGGGCAACTGGCTCTAGGTGGCCCTGCTTAAGCAGGGAGGTTGGACCAGATGACCTCCAGAGCTCCCTTCCAATCTCAGCCATTCTATGATTACCAGACATCAGTATTCACCCCCCAAGAATTTAATAGTACCTTAGCATGCATCAGAAATGTGTCAGTTTGTGTGATGTACAAAATAACCCCACTGCAGACTAGCCCTGCTGAATTCTATCAAATACGAAACATCGAGTTATGTTCCTTGAGCAAATTCTGAATTTAGGACCAGCTATATTCATGTTCTATTCATGCAGCTGTACTATTTGCCCTGCTGTTTGGAAAGAATTACACTTGCAGATAGCATACAGTGGGCTGCACAGTAACATGTGCTCAAAAAACCAAACCTTTTTTTCTTTGAAATGTGATTTTTCTTGAAGTGCCAGAACTAGCAGAGAGACCATGACACACTCATCTCTAACCTCTCAGTCTGCATTTAGTCTGGATGTAACGCGAGTAATTGTGGGTTCATTGTGACCACTTTTGTCCTTATACAGTATGAGTCTGAGAGAAGCATGCACTAAGAAGAGTATGAATAGGCACACCTCTAGTGGAATAAATCCTCATGCTATTATCTGAAATAATCATGTCTGCTGGAGAATGAAGTAGTTTGTTTGGGTTTGTTGGTGGGGTTTTTTCTTCCTTTTTGGGGGGGTTTAGGCACTCATTCTGTGGTATTTGTAGCATTCTCTGTCCCTCGTTCCTTCAGTTTTCTGAACTGAGTTTCAAAGAAAAAAAACTTGCTTTTCCTGTGTGGCCTGTTACATGCTTCTATTAGTTACTGTAGAGCCTAAATTAGGGACAGTGACATCGGTCTCCACTGGAATATTTTCTTTCTTCTTCAGTAAGCAATGTGTAGTTTGAACTGGACAGGGAATATTGCAGGAAGAAAATTGAGATTTATTGATTCGTGTAATACTAATATGTATTTTCCTTAGGTATGTTCCATGGAGTCTAACCAACCACAGTTTACATTATTGACTTTTGAAGATTTAGTTGCATCTGGTATTCCAGTCGCACCTGAGGATTCTGCGTATTGGGATAATTTTTGCTCTAAGGAGGAGAGTCCAGTGAAACAGAATGCACATTCAAGATAAGAACGCTTATAAGAAAAAGAAAATTGTCAAAGTTGTTATGCTGTTACACTACGTAATTCAGAGTGTGGGAATAAGTGTACATGTGTAAATGAAACATGTTTTTCCTTATTTAAACTAACAGTCTGATTTTCACCTTTTTAAAATTGACATTCTTATCAATATCTTAAGGAAGATAGTTCTTTCCTCGCTGAAGGAATTCTGAGTGAAAAGTCCAATAATGTTGCTTAGTCAACAAGTGTTTAACATATAAAAGTATGTTTCTATACTTCATTTAGGCTGAAGCTTAAATTATGGTACTGCCTTTTCTCTTACAAAAGTAATAGTTTTATTCTCAGACAGATGAATAAAGCCGGAAGAATTGGTACAAATCCTTTTGCTGTTACTATATGGTGCAAGTGTTTGTACGGCACTTTGTATTTGTATAATAGCAAGCTGAAGAAGTCTTAATCTTAGTAGTCATGGAACTACATCTGTGCAAAGCTAGTCTGAGGAATTAACTTACAAGTATTTCATATCCTTTTCACTTGCAATCTTTGTTAATTAAAGCTTCCTGTTTGTAACTTAGGATTTGATTTTAACAGTTCTTTTTGTATTTTGTCCCTCAGCAATAGATAGGAGCCAAACACCAGTTCAATTTTCCTAGACTTGCATTTATATCTGTACTGTCATAGGCACTGAATCATGTGGGGGGGAAAAAAAATCAACGCCAACAAAAAAACTTACTTTTTTCCAAATAGTCTCATAACATCTGAAGACAGAATATCTTATTGTCTTACAGTGAATTAGAGTTTCTGGAGAAAATCTGTAGATCTTGAGTGCACCTTTAGAGTATTTCATATTCTTTTTCAAAACAAATCCTATTTTGTGCTATTACCTCTCACTTTTCTTTCTAGAAGTCATAGATACATTATGGCCCATCTGCATGCAAGGAAACACACTGGACAGAACGAGTCCTGCTGAGTGGAATGATTTTCATAACTAAAAAGAGTTCATTTCTGTCCTACAGTTAAACATAGATCTTCAGTGAATTCGGGTTTGTGTACAGCTTGGCT